ACACACTCTTGTGTGTTACAGCCTGCTCAGTGTTTTATAACTAAGGTGTCACTTTATTTTTAAGCTCATTTAATAAGACAAGTTGAACCAGAACAGACTCATTTGGAGCAGCATAGAAACACATACAGTACACACATGGATCACTGTGTAGAGCTATGGGCAGCTTCTGCACAACTTCTATAATTAATTAAAGTCCCACTCCAGAAACATTTTCATTTTTATATTTGTATATAAAAATACTTTACTATAAACAATATGCAGTCTAACACAGCTTTTCCTCAAAAAAATTTCAGTGGGCCTCTGTAATAGGAATGAACATTGCCCCTCATTGTGCATTCCAGGATCTATGAATGTTGCCGTCATCCCTTATGTGGATTTGAATAATTTTGCACGCCCAATTTTTCAGTTTTTTATTTGTTAAAAAAGTTTGAAATATCCAATAAATTTCGTTCCACTTCATGATTGTGTCCCACTTGTTGTTGATTCTTCACAAAAAATTACAGTTTTATATCTTTATGTTTGAAGCCTGAAATGTGGCAAAAGGTCGCAAAGTTCAAGGGGGCCGAATACTTTCGCAAGGCACTGTATGTTTTCAAAACTGTTTAGATTCGTTATGCCTCTGGTGAGAAAAGGTTTCAACGTTGCTAGACCTCATTTAACCTCTGCTGCTAAAAATATAGCGAGTGATATGCTGAACAAGGCTGTTGGTAAAATTATCAATAAAGGGGACACAGACACGTCTCAGGAGGGGGGAGGGATTATGGTCCTAGCCAGGAGAGCAAAGAGACGCCCACCCGGTCAGCGTTTACACCATGTCAAGAGGAGAAGAGTGGATCAAAAGAGAAAAACCGTCAGCGGTGGAAGACGTAAACCACGGCGCTCCTCCTCCTCAAAGAAAGCTGATATTTTCTCCTAGACCACAATGGCGCTGTTGCACGAGAAATCATCAGAATGCATCATCTCTGAGCTCGATCTTTTTTCCTGTCCATATTCACAACTCAGTGTGGAGGATAAACAGTTTATTGAGATCTCTCCAGTGTCCTCGATCACAGATCGAGGCCCAATTGAATTTTTCATAGGAGGGGAAGGGCAAAAATATACGAATTTGAGTGAGACTCAAATGTTGTTGTTAAGGCTGAAAATAACCAACGCGGATGGGTCAGATTTGCCCCCTGAGGCGGCTGTAGGGATTAATAATTACCCTCTAAACACAATTTTTAGCCAGTGCGATGTCACACTGGGTGATAGGCTAATTTCACAGAGCAGTGTCAGGGAATATTACAATCTCGTTACAGCCACGGGGCGTCATTTGAAAGATCTACCCCTGTGTTTCATCAGAGATGATTACCAGTAGGGGTACACTGTGTTTGCATTCATCTTAGCCCCACACGAGGAGAGCAGTGCCCTCCCACCTGTTAAGACAGGCACGCTGCGTTTGGAAATGAGATTTAGACAACCTCTGGCTCACACTGTGACTCTTATAGTGTACGCATGTCACGATTCTATTCTTGAAATTGACTCTAAAAGAAACGTACTAGTAGACTACTACTGAGGAGAAGAGAAAAAATGAACGGGCTTCAGCTGGAGAAAATCTTATATCAATTACTGGGTAGTAAATTTCAAGGCGTGTGGGCATCTGATGAACTATCTCAACACAGTTTCAAGAGACTCGCTTTTCTCGTTGTCAACACACATCCCAGACATCTCCCTGGTGAACACTGGCTCGCCCTAACTTTGGAAGAGAGTGGTGCCAGCACCTTCTTTGATTCTTTTGGCTTTGCACCTGATTTCCCTTATTACCCAAAAACTATCTTTCATTTTCTACAGGGAGGTGGTGGAATAATTTATTATCACAATCATACTCTACAACATCCTTTATCTGTAGTTTGTGGCGAGCATTGTGTGTATTATCTATATCATAGAGCTAGAGGCTTATCCTATTCACAAGTGCTCAAGTTGTATGGAGGAGACACTGTCAAAAATGACCTTATGGCCTCTGAATTTGTAAAGGCCTATCAAAACTGCATAGCCTCTTGCGCTTCTTCTACAGACTGCATGCGAGTGTGTTCTTTAAACATGTTCTCACAATGCCATAACCTCAAGCTGTAAAATGTTGTT